TACGTACGTACGTACGTACGTACGACGACGTACGTACGTACGTACGTACGTACGTACGTACGTACGTACATCCAGAGGTCAGAAAAGTTAGGGAGGGGGGCAAGGAGGGAGGGGAGGGGAGGGGAGGGGAGGGAGGTATGACGAGATGTGCGCGCAGGTCGACACTCCCTATGCTGCCTTCAATTTCTCTGCTGCTCGGTTTCCTGAACGGAATTGCTTGGGACATCGCGAGCTGTTACCGGACGGCAAGCGAGGAGGGTACGTGTGGCAGACGTACGGGGAGGTGAATCAGCAGGTGAAGGCCCTCGGGGAGGGGCTCGTGCGAGTCTGCGGGCTGGCACGAGGGAGCAAGTGCGGCATCTACGCGACGAACCGGCCGGAGTGGACAGAGAGCATGCTGAGTATGTGGTCACAGGGCCTCGTGTGCGTGCCCCTCTACGACTCCGTAGGGTCAGACGCGGTGCGGTACATCATCAACCATGCGGCGCTTCCCGTCGTCTTCTGTGAGCGGAGCAAGCTCTCCGTGCTGCTCGAGGCCGCCAAGGACTCGCGGTCGCTGCGGCACATCGTGCTGTATGAGCCCCTGCAGGACGATGACGTGGAAGTGATGCACAAGGCTGGATCCCGGCGAGACCTCAAGCTGCACTCATGGACGGAAGTGAAGGCAGCGAGCAGGGAGAGCAGCGCGTCTTCGGGCTCCGCGCAGCGAGCAGGGGAGCTTGCGATGGTGCTCTACACGAGCGGGACGACAGGAGACCCCAAGGGAGTGATGCTCTCAGCTCAAAACCTGCTGGCATCGGCAGCTGGGTGTCTGCTGACGGACGAGACGTACGATGGGAAGGACACGCAGAGTTCAAGGAGGTTCGACAAAGCGACGTACGTGAGCTACCTGCCGCTGGCTCACAGCTTCGAGCTCAACATGCAGATCCTGATGCTCACATGCGGGGCCGCCATTGGCTTCTACCAGGGCGACGTGAGGAAGCTCGTGACCGACGACCTGCCGGCCCTCCAACCCACCATCATGCCGGGGGTCCCTCGCGTCTACAGCCGGATCTACGACAAGGTGGTGGGTACCATGGAGGCTAAAGGACCGGTCATACGAGCTCTCTTCCGGATGGGATTGCGCGCTAACGAGCGGGCGATGGCGCGGGGGAAGCGCTCGTGGCTGTGGGACTCGCTCATGTTCAAGAAGCTGCAGGCGGTGCTGGGCGGCCGCGTCGAGATGTTCCTGTCAGGAGCTGCTCCGCTCAGCAGCGAGCTACATGGCTTCCTCAAGGTCGCGTTCAACGCCCCCGTCATTCAGGGCTACGGCATGACGGAGAACGCGGGAGCAGCTGTCGCCATGCCGCCCCTGCTCACGACAGTAGGAACCGTCGGAGCTCCTCTGCCATGCACGGAGGTGAAGCTGGTAGATGTGCCGGAGATGGAGTACAGCACGGAGGACGTGTACCCGAGGACGAGAGAAGAGTTTGAGCAGCAGGTGACCTTCAAGGGAAGCTTCGACCCGGCCATGGCCGGCAAGAAGCTGCCGCGAGGAGAGATCTGCATGCGGGGGAGGAACATCATGCAGGGCTACTACAAGCTCGAGAGTGAGACAGCAGCGGTGCTCGATGCTGACGGCTGGCTGCATACGGGGGACGTCGGGCAGTGGAACCTGGACGGGAGCCTGAGCATCATCGACAGGAAGAAGAACATCTTCAAGCTGTCGCAGGGCGAGTACATCGCCGTCGAGAGCATCGAGTCTGTTGTCGCCTCCTCCCGCTTCGTCCTCCAGTCGTGGGTCTACGGCAACTCGCTCGAGCCCGCCCTCGTCGCTGTCGTCGTTCCAGACAAGGAGGTAACGCTCCTCCTCCTCCTCCTCCTGCCTGTCCCCCCCTCTCTCCCGCTCCTCCTCCTCCTCCTGCCTGCAGGCGGTGCTCTCCTGGTGCAAGAAGCATAACATCGCGGGCTCACTCCAGCAAGTCTGTCGGGACCCTCGCGTGCAGAAGATGATCCTGAACGACATCCGCGAGTGCTGCGTCGCCGCCAGCCTGAGGGGCTACGAGCAGCCCAAGGCGATTCACCTTGAAGTGAACAATCTCAACGAACTCGGCCAGGTGCTGCTGCTGCTGCTGCTGCTGCTGCTGCTGCTCTTTGTGCTGTCCTACTCCTGTCTCTCTTCCATCCATGTGACCTCCTCCTTTCCTTGCGGTCTTGTCCATCTTTCAATCTCTTACGCTTCATCAGGGATTCACAGTACAGAACGACTGCCTGACGCCCTCCTTCAAGGTCTGCTGCCCCTCCCCGTCTTCTCTTCTCCGCTCACTCTCCCTCAGCTTCGTCGCCCTCAGCTGCTTCGCCGCTACAGCCAGCAGGTCGACGTCATGTACCAGCAGATCCGCGAGAGTCTCCAGCACAGCTCCAGCTGACGTGATCATCTGTAATCTAACAAGAGATAGTGCTAAGAGCACCGCTACCCCCTCTTCTACCACAACTAACCCATGACCCCTCCCCCTTACTGGAGGACAAGGACTTTCTCTTCTTCTTTCCTCTCGCGCTTCATGTGGCCCGAGAGCGACTTGAGCGGCTGCGGAGAAAATGAGAAGGAGGAGGAGGAGGGGGGGAGGAGAGGAGAGAGGAGGAGAGAGGAGGAGGAGCGGAGGAGGCAGGGCGAGGGGACCTGGAGGGCCCTAGAGTTGGCGACAGCTGCTGAGATTGGCTGAAGTTTGCGTGTCACACCTCCACCTCCTCCAGCTGGCGCCTTGCTGGTAGCGCGAGGCTTGTCAGGGCCCCTGCTGGCGGCAGGCTTGCGAGCCGTCAGGTCGATGTAGGCCTGCGGGAGTCTGAGCATGAGCATGAGGAGGAGGGGGAGGAGGAGGAGGAGGCAGTGCGGTGGGAGTCAGCGACTTAACCTGCATCTTCTCGATGGCGAGGGAGAATTCAGTCTCGAGGTTGGAGGAAGAGGAAGAGGCAGCGAGAGCTTCTCCGAAGGCTTCCCCGCTAGTCCATTCTGCTCACAAATCAGCTCCTCTTCCTCCTTCGACTGCTGCTCCTCCTAACCTCCGCTCCACCCTCGCTCGCGCTCGTTCTCTTCGCTTGCTGTTCCTTCCCGTTCCTCCTCCTGGGATCCCACCAGCCCGGCCACTTCATCGGCTGAGGCCTCGAGCCCCTTGAGCACCTCGTTGGCTCGCTCGACAGAGTGCTGGAGACAAGTGAGAGGAGGAGGAGGAGGAGGAGGAGGAGGAGGAAAGAGAGGAGGAGAGGGAGGGAGCGGAGTGTTACCCTGGAAGTGACATTGCTGGTGTCGGAGGGGGCGAAGGAGAGTTCGGCCTCCTCCTCCTCCTTCTCTCCAACAGTCTGCGAGCGATGCAGCTCCACCAGTCGAGCGACGAGCTCCTCCTACAAGCCCATCAGCCTCCTCGCCCCTGCCCCCACCCTCTCACCTTCTTCCCCGTCTTCTTGAGCCCCTTCCTCCCGCATAGCTCCTTGAGCGTCGGCACTTTCATGGCCTGCAGCTCCTCTACCCCCGGGATCTTCTCCTCTCCTCCCTCCCCCTCCTCTCCTCCCTCGCGCTCCTCTCCTACCTCGCGCTCCCCCTTCACAGACCCTGCCTCCGACCCCTCCGACGTTCTTCCTCGCCGCTTCCTCTGCTCATTCCTGCGCCCTCCCTTGGCCGTCGGCACCCACTCGTCGTCCGACTCGAGCTCCTCTTCCGCAGGCTCCTGGGCCTCCGTCAGCCTTGTCCCGGCGCTCTCGCTTCCCTCACCTCCTCCTCCGAGCTCTCCGACTCGATCACAACTTCAACCTGCCCGACAGTGAGGCGAAGAGAGGAGGAGGAGGAGGAGGGGGAGGGGGAGGGGGAGGGGGAGGACCTTCGGGGGAGCTTTCTTCTTGGGTGGCTTCGCAGAGCTCTTGGCCTCCTTCAGCTCTTGCTCCTTCCTCTCGAGCTCTTTCTGCGCCTCCTCCTGCATCCTACTGCGTCAAGCTCAAGCTCAACCTCCTCCTCAGGACCTGTAGGGCAAGGAGTTCATCTCGCTGGATGCTGATGGAGGAGAGAGACTTGATGGCTTCCTCCTGCTCTCTCAGTCGCTCCTTCAGCTCCTCCGGCACGCCTCCTCCACTGGCCTCCGAGCACCTGCTGCCCGTCAGGAGGAGACAACAAAGATGAGTGGACGGAGAGAAGAAGAAAGTAAAAGGGGGGAAGTTAGGAGGGGGAGGAGGAGTATGATGATGACGACGATGATGATAAGAAGGAGGAGGAGGAGGAGGGGTTGGGGGGGATCGGAGCAAGTGGGGCTTACGATCTGGCAGACATGCTGGAGAGGAGGAGGAGAGTCTTCTGCTCAGCCTGCTGCTCCTGCTTGAGGGAGGCGATGGAGTATTGGTTCCTCGTCTCCCTCAGTTCTTTCTCCAGCTCCTCCACCTCTGCCTTGAGCCGCATCACTTCCTCGTCCTGCTCCGACACCTGCCAAGGCCATCAGCAAGACAACGAAGGAGGGAAGGGGGAGTCCAGGGGAGCAAGGCCTCACCTGGGAGGAGTTGAGAGCAGCTTCAAGTTCTGACTTGATGCAGAGAGAAAAAAGAAATCGAACTGACTTCTTGGCATCCTACACCAAACCTCAAAACACCTCCTCCCTCCTCCCCCTCCTCCTCTACCTGGATGGATCGCAGGTGCGGGCAGTTGAGCGCGACGTTTCTCTCTCTGTCGTTGTTCCCCTCCACCCCCAGCAGCTGACGTTGCAGCTCCCCAATCTGCTGCGAGCAGGCTTGCACCTGCTGCCCGAGCTCCTCCGTCCTCGCCCGCAGCTTCTCCTTCCCGTCCTCCTTCTGCTCCTCCTCCCTCCCCCTCTGCTGCCAGCGGCTCTGCAGGCTCGAGAGCTTCTCTCGCAGCGAGCTCGTCGTCGGCTGGCCGCCGCTCTTGGGCTCCTCCTGCTCCAGCAGCTCCTTCGCCTGCTGCAGCTCGGCATGCAGCTGGGAGCGAAGACTCATCTGCTCCGTGAGCGCGTTGCGAATCCTTCGAACCTGCAAGGACAAGTGAATAGAGGAGGAGGAGGAGGAGGAGGAGAAGGAGGAGGAGATTGTCTACCTCGACACAGAAGGAGATTTCTTGCTCAAACCACTGCTCAAGGTTCCCCTCCTTCTCCTCCTTTTCTCCCTTCGAGCTCTTCGCCTCCAGCAGTCTCTTCAGCCGCATGTTGGCAGCTGCTGCCTCCTCCATCTTTCGCTTCAACACCACCTGCCATGCCTCAGCCTCCTCCCCTCCTCCTCCCCAGCTCAGCACCTGCTGCTTGTCCAGCTGCAACTGAAACTTGTGAGCCTGATGCTCCGCTTGCTTCTGCTGCCTCTTGAGCATCAAAACCTGCGATTGCAAGTCAGACCAGCACCCTGCTTATGCTGGTCGTCACCTCCTTGCTGTGCTGGGCTCGCCATTCTTTGAATCGGTCGGACTCCATCTGCAGGCGCATCAGGACCGGCTCCTCCCCAGCTGACCCTCAGCTTCTTCACCTTCATCTTCCGCAGCAGCTTCACCTTGGCCTGAGCTCAACGTCAGCGCACCTTCAACCTCTGAGCTCTCCTCCACCTGCTTCATACCCTCGATGTCTGCGCTCAGTTCCTGCCAGCAGGTCAGAGAACAAGCAAGAGGAGGAGGAGGAGGAGGAGGAGGAGGAGGAGGAGGAGGAGGAGGAAGAGGAGGAGGAGGAGGAAAGGCACCGCTATCCTTCTGTCGCTGTTCTGCTTCAGTCGCAGCATCTTCTCCTGCTCAGTCACCTGCCTCTCATCAGCCCCAGCAAGGCAACTCCACCTCTCACTCTCTTCTTTGCGGCTGCGAGCTGCAGCTCGAGAGTCTCCAGCTTCTCCTGCGCCTCCTTCAGTTTCTCAGCTGCTTCCAACGGCTCCCACCGTCTCCTTAGAGGCCGCAGAGGCGGTGGACAGCTGGGCCTGCAGCTCGTCCACCTGCTGCCGCATCCTCTGCAGCTCCTTCTCGTCCGCTTCCTTGAGCGCGCAGAGTCGCTTCTCCCCTGCTGGAGGGTCAGCAGGGGCACAGCAGGAGAGGGCGGGTGCCTTCCAGCAGCTGGGACAGCAGCTGCTCCTTGAGCCCGAGAGCTTCTTCGATCCCTTGCAGCTCGTCGCTCAGAGCGACTTGACTCATCGTGTGGGCCAGCATGTCCTCAGACGCCTCCTCTCCCTCCTCCCCTGCCGCTGGCCCTACCCTCGAGAGCTCCAGCCTGCTCTCCTCCAGCACGCTCTCTTCCACCTGCCCAGCTCGTCACCGGCTGCTCGGCCCGCCAGCAGGCGTACCGAGAAGCTCGCCTCCTCCTCCCAGCTAAGCCCCTGCTGCTGGCAGAGCCCCTGGAACTTGATTCTCAGCTTGTCAAACTGGATCTCTAGCTGGAGCGCTCGGCGGGTCCTGCGGCTCAGCTGCCACCAGCGGTCATGTGGTCGAAGTCAGCTGGGGTCTGCCTGACCTCAAGTGAGGTGGACTGGAGCTCCTCCTTGAGCCGCCTGCCTCCCGTCAGCTCCTCCTCCTCCTTCCAGTTCGGCCACCTCAGCTCCTCCTCGAGCTCCTTGACTCGAGTCGCGTCTCCCCCCGCCGGCACTTGAGGCTTTCCTCCTCCTCCTCCACCTCCTCCTCCCGCAGCCACCTGAGCCTCGAGCTGCTGGATGTAAGCTCTGAGCGCGGCGACCTGCAGCCGTTTGAGACAGGAGGAGAGGAGAGGAGGAGAAGGGTAACGATAGGAAGGAGAGGAGAGATAGGGGATTGGGACCTCGGCGTTGGAGGAGGAGACGTTGACGACGGGCTTGTTCTTGATGTTCTTCGCTCTGTTGGCGTACTTGAGCGTGTTGAGCGTCTCCTCGAAGTTGCAGTCTGTCAGCCTGTCAGCCCTTCCGCTGTGCTAGGCTGCTGGGGACCTGCTGGGGAGACGCAGGCGATCATCATGGTCTTGCTGTTGCCTCCTAGCGAGTCCTGAAGAGAGAACCCGTCACGAGGGAAGAGCAGAACGGATGGGGAGGGGGAGGAGGAGGAGGGATGAGAGGAGGGTCTTACTTGGAGCATGCGGGTAAGCTTCGAGTCTCTGTACGGCACGTGGCCGTTTGCCCCTCCCTCTGCCTTCTCGCTCAGGGCTGAGATCACGTTGCCTAGCGCCTGTCGCGTGGTGAGCAGCTGAAACATGCTGGTGGCAGCGCAAGGGGAGAAGGAGGAGGAGCTGGGAAGGGAGGGATGAGAGGGGTGGGGTGGTTCAACCAGGAGGCCCTTGTTGATGTTGATTCCTTCCTTGAGGCGCTGCAGGTGAGGTTACGTTCGCTCGCCTGCTCGTTCCCGCCGCTCCTCACCTGCCCCTCAGCTTTCGTTCTCTTTGCCCTCTCACTGCCATCACCATCAGGCGCCTCCTGCTCCTGCTCCTCCGCTGCTCTCACCTTCCAGCCAAGTCCACGAGGTGGAGGCGAGCGACGACGTCTGTTCCTGCTGGACTTGAGGCTCCTCCTTCCTCGCCGGCAGTGCCACAGTAGATCTGGATGGACATGATAAGAGGAGAGGAGGAGGGGAGAAGAGAAGACGAGCACCTTCTCCATCGTGATGGTGAAGACAGCATGAGAGCGCGAGGATTGTCTGGAGAACAAGTTGAGAGGAAGAAGCACGAGGAGCACAAGCCCGACAGGTTCATGCAGGTGCTGCCAGTCGCTCGGTTGAGAGATCCCTGCGAGGGGATAGTCACGAGAGAGAAAGTGGGACGGGGGGAGGAGAGGAGAGGAGAGGAGGGGGAGGAGAGGAGAGAAGAGGAGAGGAGAGGAGAGGAGAGGAGAGGAGAGGAGGGGAGGAGAGGAGAGGAGAGGAGAGGAGAGGAGGGGAGGAGAGGAGAGGAGAGGA